ACTGTACTATGTGTAAAAAGTGCTTAAAGTATACACAGAAGAAGAAATTAAGTTAATTGAGCGTAACGAAGGATATACTTAAAATTGGCAGCGGATATATTTTCTAATTAAAGAAGGAAAAATTAAGCTCGATAGCACAAAAAGCGAAGTGGTAGATTAAGTAAATTGAATATAAAGTATTTTGTAAATGTTTATGCAATTTAAAGGATTAAAAATAAAAAAAAAATGTTCATCTATTTATCATTAAAATAATACGTAATAAATCCCAAAAACGGAAGCTAACAATTTTTCATCCGATTGTTGAGTTCATGGTCGTTTAGGAACATAACCCCCTGGCTCTACCAATTCTCTTGATTGTTGTCTACCCTCAGGTGTGAAGTAATGAATTTATGTTTCAACAATTATCACTACTCGACACTCACAGTTAGCTAGATTTTGTATAACATAATAATTTTCAAACAATGTTTTGAATTACGAAGTCATTGTCGTTTTTGGTCAATTGTGAGCAAACGCGGCACCCTTCTTGCCGAAAACTTTTTCATACACAAATATTCATATAAAATATTCGATACACATTCATATGATATATTTGTTATCTCTGCTATCTCATGCAATTTAGTTTTTGGATCATCCAACACAATATCGTGGATTTTTTTAATGTTTTTTTTTTAGTTGAGATCTCTTTTGGACGACCCGGACGCTTTCCAATATTTTATTATTATTAACGATGGTACAAGGTTGCCGTAAACAGAACCCATTTACAATTTAATTATATCATTGTTCATTCCTTTCAAGTGGAGGAAATTTATTACTGAACGATATTCTAGTTTTTCCAATTTATAAAAAGTCACCAAGGTGTACTGGTTCCATTATTTGCAAAAAGCTAATCAAACATCTGACCAGATATACGAAATATAGATATACGAAATTGATTTTGTTTTGGCGTTGCCACCTGTTCTAAAGTCAGGTAATTATCAATCCACCTAGTTCTTGTTTTTGTAAGTATTTTGTTAAATATTGTCAAAAACTAATCGAAATTTAAAAACATATAGATGATAAAGACCTAGTCTAATGTTCCTGGTATATAGGAATGCCTTACTAAGCACATATTTGTGTAATACCCTAAGAAAAATCCATTGTTAGTGCGCCTTTTTAATTGAACACCTTGAATAGTTCATTGAGTTTACAATTGTGAAGCTCAGAATTGCATTGAAGTTAACATAATTTTCAATATATATATGGATGGCACTAAGAAAATCTATATATGATTTTCCTGTGAGGAATCCGGCTCAATAAGGTCGAAATAGATTATTTAAAAGCGCTACAAGAAGCAATAAATATTTTTTTATTATTATTTTGTTAATTGTTTTCAACAAAGAAATTCAATGTATACCCAAATTTAAAAATATAAACTTATTTCCTGTAGTCACTTTGTATGGATGATATTGTTAAACAATGTATATTTTTGTACTCTTTATTAAATTGAATTTTCGCAAAGTTCCTGTGAAAAGTCCCATTTGACATAATGACCCATTTAGGGTGAAACTTTCATATCAACATATAAAAGTACATTCAGATGAACACACAAATGGACATCGCTTAATTGATTCGTCCTTCCGAAAATTAATACTATCTGAATTACTTTTTTTTCCATTTATTAAAAATAGTTTTCACAAATAAGTTAAAATAAAAACAAAGAAAATACGAAAACATAACACTTTATATAAATTGAAGTTAATTGACACTATCTCAGTTGTTTATTTTTCCCAAATTAATTATTAATTGGTCTTGTGACACATCGTTAAAATCATTAACAAGCCTCAGTAACAAAATCACTGATGGTGATTGACAATCAGTCCGAAAACAAACCCAGCAAATCTAATATTACACCAAATAAGGTATCGTCACTAATTTGAATTTGATGACAATAATGACGTTGATGACTTTGTTAACAATTTCAGGATAATAGTGATAAATTATGTGAGTGAGAAAGTTTTATAAATAGTAGGGAAAATAAATTGATTTTTTATTCAACTCACATACCAAATACTTATACGAGTATATATACGTTAAGCAATAATATAGATTAAAATATGAAAACATTGTTTTATCCTATTGAACTGAAAAATATTTATCATATTCATATCATAATGTATCTAGGTATAAAGTATTTTTTCTTATAATTTATTTTTACTTTCAAAAAATTTGAAGGAAGAACAAAATTAAAAACGTTTTCTCTTTTTATTAATTTTGATATCTGTTTTTTACTAACAACATAAACCTAGAGGCAATAACTATAAATACTTATCCATAAGACTTAATATCTATTATATTCCCAATGTTTATTTCATTCATTATAGTTTAGTCTTTACTCCTTGACGTCGTACTTACTTATTTTCTTACTTACTTACTTGTTTGTACATAACACGTTACCAGGTTTCAGCCTGACGAGGCATGTCTCTTCAGGCGCCTCTGCTGCTTGAGTGCCTTCTTCAGTCTCGTACATCAAGTCCGATTAATGCACCCTCAACTTGCTCACCTCTACTCCTTCTTCTTCCAACTACTGCTTCAAATACCTTTTTCGCTGTAGCACCTTCATCTATTCTTACGACATTATTAAGCTAGCGAAACCGGTGGATGTTAATTCGCTGAATTATATTAATGTCTCGATTAAACTCATACAGCTTATGGCTGATTCGCATGATGTAGTCGTCACCAAATCGTAGAGAGTATTCGAGAGTATTTCTCTCGAATACTCTCCCGGTGCTACTTCATAATTTTGTGATAACGTCTACTTATTGATTTAGTTCCATTTTATATACGTGCACCTCCTTTGGGTATGTTTAGTAGACTCCGCTAGTCAGCCTAGTGAGTCGTCAGTTAATAGTAATGAGTGTATGCATATTATATTTCACATACGTTTTTCATCAGAGATACTGACGCCCTCCGCAATGTTTTCCACTAGCGAGCTAAATTAAATAGCTTTCTTGCATGAACATTTTCTAGCATTTTCTACCTACTATATGACCGCGGTATAGTTCAGACTGGTCATCGTTTCATCTAATTCGAGACTCATCATAGACATTAGATGAATTCTTATTTCAAATGCTTTTGTTCTTCAAATACTTCTAATCACTCTTGTTTAATATTCTAGTATCTGCACCTTACAGCAGGACTGGTATGGAAACAGACTTGTAAACGTTAGCGTAATGAAAAAGTTATTTGAATGAAGTTATCATGAGTTAAAAGAAGTGCCGAATAATCTGTTATATTATAAAGAAGATTACAGACACATTTGAAAATCTATCATTTATCATCATATTTATCATGATCTATCTATCATTAGATCTAATGGACCCGCTTTTTATTTTAAGATAAAAGTAAGTAATCTTTTAATTATCAGTCTAATTATTAGTCTTCTTTACCCAATGTATTGTCTACTTAGTTTTCTGAATGTCAATTTAGTCCAAACAAGCATATTTTAGCAGTAGTAATTCCTTAATAAAAATCTAGATTTACGTCATTTTTGGTATTATCGCTAAAGGAGATAATAGTCCTCTTTATCCAAAGTAATGTCTTAGTTTCCTGTAGTGATTCCTTATTAAAAATCTTTATTGACGTCATTTTTGGTATTATTGCTAAAGTTCTCAGGTAAACCAATTCTTTCATACGTTAGCTAAAGTTATACCGGCTTTCCCTAGGGGATCCGCTTAGGTCTATTAGCCAATTGTATAACCGTATATAGAGGAAAATCAATGTTTAAAACCACCTTTGGCGAAACTAATAATGCTGTTGAGTGGTAAGTCTTGTAGAATTCTTTTATAACTTCAAAGTTATAGCTGTCAATAAGAGTGACTTGTTATCACTACTTGAAACGAGTATCACTTAATTACAGAAAAGACAATTTTAAACCCTATAATGATTGAAAATAATAACTTCTTTCCAGTAATATTTCAAAAGTCTTATCGTTCCATTGTTTACTTTTGAAATTGTGAGAAAACAATTTACTTATTATTTTTCCATAAAATGAAAAAAAATATAAAAAGGACTCTTTGGCAAACAAGTGTTAAGGCTTATCGACATTTTTGTTGCTTAGATTGCAATTTGTATCGGTAAATATTTGGGACTGCACCGAAGGTGTATATGTCCTTATGTAAGGACACAAGTCTGAAGTTCAATATTTTCCTGCTTTTGTTTTTCGTAACATTATCAATTGCTTTTGTTTTGTACTTCTTATTACTTCCCATTGTTTATTGGCAACCTTATATTGACAGGCAATACTAAAATGTATCGCTTATTTATCTTATCCTGCAGAATTTCTTGCAGGATTTCATAAAAAGTTTGATTGTAAAACAAACGAAATACTGCGAAAAAAATGTTTAAAGAATATTTTAAAAGGAAAACAACGATAAGCACATAAAATCTTGTTATAAATGGAAAAATTTGGAAATATAATTTTGAAAAGTAAACAAAATCGAGTGCAGGATTAAAAATTAGATTTTTTGTCAAAGCAAATATTTTGGATATTTTCGTTTTAAATTTGGTGTAAAAACCAAGGAATAATTTTTGAATTATTTATAATTTCCAAAAATTTTAAATTGAACTGAAGGTATTAAAAAATACTAATAATACTTTTGTAGACAAATTTAATAATAAACACATTACGTTAATTATGAACCAATAAAATCAATCTTCCAAGTTCTTTAAACTTCTAACTTTAAACTTCTTTAAATAGAAATTAATTTCTTTAGGATTAAATCAGCAATTTCATTGCATGAAAAATAAAATTAATTCGTATTTAAATAACTGTTTTATTATATTCAAAAATGTTTACCCTTCTCTTACAAAATTTTTAACATTATATACAGAAACAATAGTCAAAAATATTAGAATTCCAATAACACTGGGTTAATTTATATATTGGAAACAATGTGATAATTAAAGTCAATAAAATAAAAAAAGTAAAGTAAAAAAATATAAAAAATTTTAAACAATGGAAGGGTTAATATTAAAATAAGAAATATATATAGATATAAGTATTTTATAAGAATCAAAAACAATGTTTAATCCTTTATTTGATTGCGGTATTGCATTTGAAGTTCAAATCTTCTATTGGAACGAACTCCACGAATAATTTCCGCATCCTTAGCCGAATTCGATTTATGAGCACCACCGACACGACCCTTATACATGTTCATATGTCTTTCACGACGCAAAGTTGCTTTATCAATAGCACTTATATGTGACTCTTCTCGAGGACGTGAAGTTTTTGTATTGTTTGATGGTTTTAAGGGCGTAATTTGTGCTACAGGCTTTAAAGATTTTAACTCTGTTACACTTTTGTTAGCTGTCATCTGTTGTTTCATAATACCTAATCTTGGATTAGGTAAGCGAGCAAGTAGATTTTGCTCCTCATCTGGTTTATTCTCTGAAATGGTTTTAACGGGTTCATTTAAATCAATCTTTTTTGCTGCTTTTGGCTTTGCAGGAACATGTTCTACCTTACGTACAACTAAAATTGTGAGAAAGTATTTTTAAAGAAAATGTTAAAAATAACAAAAATTAATTTCAGTATGTACTCACTGGGTAGTAATTTTTTTGAGGAGCTATTTATGCCTCTTAATTGACTACGATCAGTTGATTTTGGAAAATCTGTAGGTAACAAAATATTTGTTTTATCTTCTGCTTTTGGTTCGGTTTTACCTGGTGTAGTAGTTTTGCCATAAAAATTTATTGATTTCAAAGCCTTTGACGGAACACCAGCTTGTGCATTTCCATTAAATTTAAAGGGTGCAACTTTCGATGCAGCTAGAAAAGAAAAAATAATATATTAAATAAATATATTATGTTAATGTATAAAATATTCTTACAAGGTAATGTTTTGACACCAGAATTTATCAAGTTCTTTGCTCTCTCCGTTTTCCGTGTTACGTATTCAGTAAGGTTTTCCATTTTATTAAACTGCTTTTGATGTATTGCAGCAAAATTTGGCAATTTTGTAGCTTTTTGCATAATTTTTTGAGGAGTAGAACGTGTGCTCGATGCAGTATCAATATCTATAAAATTAAATAAATTATAAAAGTAGAGTTAAAGTAACTTGAAATATGAATATTTGATATAAATGTTATATATTTTATCAATTTTTTTTTAAAGAAAAAAAAATGAATACATGAATATATTTAAATAATTGTACAGTATATATACTTTTTATATACACTGTGTATATACCTCCTCGGGGAGGTATGCAGATCTGAGGTCCATTATTGCTTAGTCTGATGAAGTGATAAACAATAATCTAGTTAAGGTGTAGAGAGGGTTTTTGAAGAAACCCCGAGTTAAAAAAAGAGTATAATTGCTTAAGTGCACTAGCTTAAAACAGCTTCAACATAATAATAAATATATACATATCTACATATACACTAACTTGCATGTTATTTCATATATACCAACCTGGCTTAGAAATTTTATTTGGAGTTGGTTTTGACTCATCATTATCATTGTTAATAGATGTTTGTTTCATCTCATCAAAGGAACGCTTTCGACGTTTAATATTAACATCTATAGAAAAAGAAATTAAATCAAATTAAATTAAAAAATTAAATTAAAAAAATTAAAACGGAAAAAAAACAACTTACGACTTTCATTTTTCAACAAAACCTGCTGATCTGCATCCTGTTTTTTAACGCTTTTATTAATGATTTCATCAATGTCAGCAATTTTCGTTATTCTATTATCAGCGCTGTTAAATGTAACAGCCTTAGCTTTCAAAATCTTTTTCTTCTTTGCTGAAATATAAGTTTTTGTAGATTTTGGAGTGCATTCTACCTCTTCTATAGCAGAGTTGACCAATTCCTTGCCTTCAGATTTTACTTGCTTTTTATCAACAGATTTTTCAAGTAGTAAATAACTTTTAGAATATGGGGTAGGGTGTGGATTATAGTCGTTTCTGAGTTTAGCCTTTGGAGTTTCTAATAATGTTGGCGTTTCTGTTACAGTATCAAGTGGAATGGCCAAATCCTTGTTTTCATTAGAAGGGCTTTCATTTAATGTAATATTTTTATTAACTGAAGTAATTGAAGTATTCTTAACAGGCGTGTGTATAGAGTCCTCATCATCTGATATTACTAGCAGTGGAATAAAATTTATATCTTCATCATCTATAAGATCGAATGTCTCCACACTATTGGACTCTGTTTTTGCTATTAAAACAGACTTGCCAATTGAATTATCAATCTTATCAATGGTAACGTTTAATTCATTTTCTTTAGTATTCTCTGATGAATTTTCATTGATCACTTTTGGCAAAGTGTCTAAATTTTCAAATTCATCATCAGCTGATATATGCTTAATATATTGCTTCTGTACATTTTCAGTTGATTCTTGTTTTGCATCATTTGATACCTTGTTGCTAGATTTGTTAATAACCTCAACATTATCGTTATTATCTGTATGACTATCAGAGTCTGTATTGGTTTCCATTGATAAATTTGCCATTTTCAAATTTAACTCTGAATTTTTTTTAGTATTTTTCTTAACTTTTTTATTATTTTTTTTATTAGATTTAGAAACCAAAGGTGTAACACTACTGCGTACTGTTGACTTTCTACCAGAGCCCTTTACCTTTTCATTAGTTACGGCAGCGAGACTCTCTTCAATACCAGCATTTTCTTTATGCAAAGTGAGTTCCTCATTTACAGTGCCCGACGGTGTAAGAACCTTGGCAGGCATAGAATTCTTACGTATATTTTTAATCTTCGTTTCATTAGTAGAAATTTGTGGTAATAATTCAGTGATGTTTGTTTTAGAACTTTGAACGTTATTCTCTTTATTTGTTGCATTATCATTCACATCATCTTTGTCTTCACCATTATCAGCATCTGCTTTAACTAGTACGATTTTCAAATTAAAAAATAAAAAATTAAAACGTTAACTAGTTACTTACCTTCATTATTTGTTTCAAAGTTCAGTTTATTTCTTAATCCTTTACTTGCAATTATCTCGCTATAATCTAATTTTCTCGAAATTGTTTTACGTCCGCTCCTTGATATGTTTTTCATATCGGAATTCTCCAGTATTTCATTCATTTTAGCAATGCTCGATGAAGGAGTTGCAGTCTCCACAAATTCCGAAGTTATTTTTGATGCTGCTCGAGTACTTCGTCGTACTGATGGTGTATTTTTAACTGAGTTTTGTAGTTTCTTTAAAGTAGACAATTTCAAGTTAATTTCATCCGACACATTTTCTGCAACCTCATTCGACCCGCCTACATCTTGGACGTTAAGTACTGTTTTACGCCTTCTAGATGATTTGCGTTCACCTAATGATTATAAAAATATCATTATTTAAAACAGTTTATTTATTTTTATAAAACTCAAAACTATATTTGCTACATTTTTTTTATTCTTACTTTCATTATTTTCATTAGAGGTTGCTTGCATATTGACAGACTTGTGGCGTCTCTTCGCAGAATTGCGTTTACCTGCTAAAATTAAATAGAATTTATAACATTTAACACTTTTTATTAAACAACACAGTATTAGCATTTTTTTCATATATATTTTAACGTACCAGAACCCATTTTCTTAACAATAAAATTAATTTTTAACTTATCGACAACAGTTATGGCGACCGATCCGGTTAAAACATACAAAGTACAACGCTGCTATGTTTTTGACCCTACAACTGCCATTATTTTTAAATTTTGACATATCTCAAACACACATGGTTGCATTTTGAATTTAAATAAACCATTTAGATTCAGAAATTTAATTAATAATTATAACAATCTTTACTTAACTTTTAACATTAGTACAATTTCTAAATACATTTAGAATTATATTAAACTATTGTAGTTTTAAAATTTATAGTAAAATATTCTATATATAACAAAATTTGATACCTAAGCATACTAAAGCATGATATAGAGGATGCTAAATGTATTCACAAGTATACAGACCAAGTATGCGCTTTGCTATACACTTTGAAACAAAGTGTAATATTATCGCATATATGCCTGCAGATCGAAATTTGGTATGCACACTTGAAAATACCCAGTGCGATTTGGTAGCACGGCATACTTGGTTTGTATACATGTAGCATCGTCTATATCATACTTAATATACCACACAAAAAGGTAATTTGCTTTATGTATTATTAAATTCGAATTGTCGAATCAGTTGTCCTTTATTTGTACATATTTTAATTTACTTTTTGACTTATTATTTTAGTATATGTGCATTTTTGAAATTGCGCCAAAAACGCTACAACTTGCCTATAAAAAACGTGATCACAATTTCTCTATTTAAGATTTAAACACCAACATTGTAGCAGTTTAGAAGTAGCATGCTAAATAAAAATTACTAAGGCTTACAAAATTCTTTTTGAAAATATATTCGTATTTTCTGTTCAAATGTTCTTTCGTACAAAATTTCGAAAATTTCCACTTAATTCTAATGTTATGATTATTTGACTTACAAAAACTAAAGTAAATAAACTTAATAAAATGTATTATATAAATACTAGACTACAAAAAAATTAAATTGTTTGTCGTTGCGAAGAAAAATGTTTTTAATTTAAAATTATATAACAAATATTTGGTTGTATTAACAAATATTTGGTGAGTGCATATGATTTCAGATTGTTTGCAGCAATGAGACGCTATCCTACTTTGCTATCCTACTCTATTTGTAAAACACTAAACTGAAAAAACAATACGTAAACAAAATGATATATTTTTTAGTGTAAGAATCTGTAACTCCAACCTGAGCTAATCTGCATGTTAATTAGACAACAGCTAGTTCGATAATTTCTATTTAATAATATAGAAAATCCACCTTATTTTGGCATGTTAATTTGTTCAAGTCACAAATTTAAACGTTTTATATATTTAGCACGAATTTAGCATGCTCAATTGTTGTTGTGTGAGCAACAAAATTATGAATTCATATTAATTGAATTTAAAGATTTCACTGAATACCCACAATACATTTTGACAGCTGTTAATGTGAATATGTCGATAAGGTAGTTTTATTTACATTTTGCATTGCTCATTGAAATTTTTTTGAGAGCAGTGCAATAGTCATTGCAGAGAGATTGTGTGGGGAGGTTAATAGCAATTAATTAAAAGCAATATAATTTTAATAAAATATGTAGTGTTTGTTAATAATTTGTTAAGGTTAGTATATTAATTTAAAATTAAAAAAAATTTAAATTCTATTAAAAAATAAATAACATTAGTTATCCATAAAGTTAAAAAACCTTGAATTTGGAGGCTTAAATGTAAACAAATTCTTGAGTTTTTTTTTTTTGAACATTTTAAAAGTATATTTTTAATTTTGAAGAGAATATTTTTAAATTAAACAAAAACATTAAAAACAGCTGATTCCATGTTTCTTGTGTGGCAGGTTAATTTGCAATATTTGGTATGCAAAAAAAAAAAAAATACAGAATTAGATCATAGCCGAAATTACAGGCGCACATAGTAAATTTACAAATTGTGTAAAATTAAGGGCATGCTTTTAAAAATATCTGTAAAAATTAATTTGTAAATTTTGTTTTTAAATATACTTACTAATTTGTTTTTAAATATAATTTTTTATTTGTTTTTAATCAAAACATTAAAATAAATAGGTTACACAAATATTTTACAGGTTGAAATTGTCTAGTAGCAAGTGCGCGCAATATGGGCAAAGATCATGATTTACTGGAAGCATCGCGTAATGGGAACATTTCATTGGTAGGAAAAATTTTGGATAGTTTGCGCAAACGCACAGGTCCTTTATCAAGGTAAATTGTGAATATTAAAATAATATATTTATATATAAATAATATTATTTTTTTTAATTGTTATAGTTTCAGACGCGGTCCTAGTGTAAATGCTCAAGATGTTAATGGATATACCGCATTGCATCACGCTTGTTTAAATGGACATAGTAATATAGTTGTTTTATTATTGGCATATGATGTAATACCAGATGTACCTGATATACGTGGGTCCACTCCTTTGTACCTTGCCGCTTGGGCTGGCCACCATGATATTGTCAAAATATTATTAATGCACACAAATAAACCTGCAAATCCCAATGCACAAGTATGTTTTACACGATTTACTATAAAATCATAATTTTAACTATTTTATTTATATAGACAATAGATAATGAAACGCCACTACATTGTGCTGCACAACATGGACACAATGCTGTCTTATCAATATTAATTTCATATGGTGCCGATCCGACTATAAGGAATAATAGTTTTCAAACACCACTCGATCTTGCTGCACAGTTTGGACGTTTGCAAGCCGTACAAATACTTTTGCGTATGCATCCTGAATTAATTGATCCCTATAAAAATTGTGCTAAAAATATAGAGATATCTGCTGCCAACACACCTACGAAACTTACATTCACACATACATGTTTACATCTTGCTAGTCGAAATGGCCATAAAAAAGTCGTGGAGACACTTTTAACAGCTGGTGTTGATGTGAATTTGTTAACTCATGCCGGCACAGCTTTGCATGAAGCTGCGCTATGTGGTAAAAAGTCTGTTGTTTTAACTCTACTGAAGGCAGGTATAGACCCAAATGCAAAGGATGGGAATGGACGTACAGCATTGGATTTATTAAAAGTTTATCCACCACATGTTACTTACGAAATTGTTACTGCCATACAAGGTTTGTTATATATATAATTTATTCTCAATTATAAAGTTATTTATATCGGCTAACTACTTAAAATTTGTTTTAGATTTTTGTAAGAAACGCACAATTGAAAATGAAAACAATAATAATTTGAACCAAAGTGATGATTCAATGCGGGATAAATCCCATACAATGCCAAGAACTTTGTACGAGAAGAACTCTAATATTGCGAACAGTAATGGCAATAGTAAATTTTTAACAACAAATATTTTAGTTGGAAAAACGTAAGAGAATATATGCTTTAAATGTGCAGAACTTCAAGTAACATCACACACCTACATTTTACTACATACATTATTAAATGTACATGTAAAACACATCAAAAACACATTTACATCATATCTTTGTTATCTCTCGATGTTTTAAAAGTTATACATTTTAAACACTTCCTGCATTAACTGACTAAGAAAATATCTTTGTACCTGTTTATACTGTGATATAATTTATTTGTTTATTTATAAACAACATATATGTATGTATATATATAAATAACTGTTTTACTTACTGTCATTAATATTAAAATATATTTTTAAATATTGTAATTAAATGTTTAGATATTACTTTGTGTTGTACTAACATTCTACGTCGAAAGAAAAAAAATTATATGTAAACCTATTAATTATATTCTCTCACTGTATTTGTCTAATATAACAACTGTTTAGGAAATGCCATTAGCTCATATATCACTAACAATGAACCACCAAACCACTCTTTCGTTTTCAGTACTTCATACGCTTACATATATCGACACTCATGTTCCATTAAACACAACAAATCGGTATAATAAAAAAAAAATATTTATATAAATATCAAATTTCATATTTGCTTGCTTTGCATTTGCGCAACACACAATTGGATTTGTTAGCTTTTGAAAAATATTTATAATTAAAATTGGATCCATAAATATCAAGCTCGATCTGGTACTCATGTGTTAAATAAAACTTAATTAAAATCTGCATCGACCTCTCATCCCGCTATGCTTTTTTCATTTGACTAAACTCATTTGATATTATTATATTATCTTGATAAATAATGCAACTATATTGTATAGTATATATAAAAAATCTGCAGAACATTTCTAAAATCTGAGGAACTAAAACTGCAGACTGTGTTACAATTGTTGTTGTAGCCGTAATGGCAATCCTACCATATTTTGTTGGCGTAGCAAGCTAAAACGAAAAGCTATATAGGTCGTGTGCGAGTTAGACTAAGGTCGTGTGCGAGTTAGGCTAAGTTGCGTTCTAAATGAGGGAAATTCTAAGTTGTGTCGACAATGTAGTGATGTGTCGATACGTGTTGATAAATGGCTAAATGTGTGCAGTGCAAAAAATCCCAAAAAATCTCCCATTTGGTTTAGCATCAACTTAGCCTAACTCGCACACGTCCTAAGTTGCGTTCTAAATGAGGGAAATTCTTAGTTGTGCTTATAATGTAGTGATGTGTCGTGCGTGTTGATAAATGGCTAAATGTGTGCAGTGCAAAATATCCCAAAAAATCTCCCATTACGGATACGGATACATTAAATTTTAGCAGTATTAAGAGGTCATATATATATTTAGGATAGATACATTAATTTAAATTGGTATGAATGTAGAGAAAAATGTAGCCAATTAATTAATAACTTCAATTGGGTGCTAATTGATATATGTTACGGATGACTTCTAGCGGAATGAAGAAGAATTCATAAATTTCTACGCGAAAACGTTAAGGAATCGTGTCGTCAGACCTGCAGCAAAAATTTACTTTCAGGGAGTTTTACTTTATCTAAATCGACTATGTTTTTTTTTGCAATTAAGTCATGGCATGATGTATTAAAAATATATAGATATATCCATTCGATTCAAAGAGGGTGGCATGTAGTCCTTGATACGTTCCTGCTTTTCATCATAAAGAATCGAAGTCATAGATAAGTTAGTGTATATATGTAGAGGACTACCTTAACCAATAAATACAATAAACCACTAAATATGGATAGGAAATGCTTTTGAAGAAAGTTTGAACAAATTAAGAGAAAGAGATAGATAGAGAGAGAGAGAGAGAGAGTATATAACTTAGGGATATTAAAAACGATTGTAAAAATTAATAATGAAGGAGAGGAAGAAAAAAATTCTGATTTCAATTGTATTAGAACAGTTTTTCTATCCAAAATAATAACTGGGATATCTGGTATATAATGTTTATAAGTTATAATGAAGAAAGAAAAATAATTTATACGACCATTTCATCTGCCTCAAAACAGTTTTTTCAACTCGAGATACTCGTCCTACTTTTCTGTAATTGCTTAATTGAAATTCAATAAGAGGTAATTATCGTCCGGATCCCTTTCAGATGTTAAGGAAAAATACTAGAAAATAAAATTGTAATAATATCTGAATATTATGAAAATTAATGGTTGAAATAAATAGCACTGTGCCCATGTCCTTAAATCATATTATAAGATAACTTGCTACTTTATTAGTATAATATACACAGGGAGTGGTGAATCAGCGAGTTTGAGCACTACTTACTGATAAATTTCCTTAGTTTCAATTTTATTGGAACATAATAGTTGATTATATTCTTTCATAACTAAATTATTAATATTCGCAATAGCTTAAAAATTGCGAGGCTTAAAACAATGAATGTCGGAAGAATTAGAAACTGAAATCTATTAAGATTTGAATATAATTATATTCTAAAATGATCAACTATAATAGTCAAAAACAATGCCTATTATTTAGTCACAATAGTAAATTCTGGATAAATCTAAATGGATTTAAATCTTGTTAGATTCGAAATGATCAACTGCAGTAGTCAAAAAGACCACTCTATATGTGAAATTCAATACAATCTACAATATATTTTCTATCAATCTATATATTTAATCAGTTGCAGTATGATATTTTATCCGACGGTAGATATATCTTTTTCAACATATATAGATATAGTGTATAAGCTGGGTGTCATTCGAATTACAGTTTATCTCCATTGTTGTTTTTCTGATATGTCAGACAGTCTTGTTCTATTCCATTGCAAGTTTTACTCTAGTGCTGCATGGTATATCTTATAGTAATGTTCGCGTTATATATCCCATAACACCCGTACTTTCCTCTCTTTATATCAGTGTTCAAATTTTCTTGTCTTATTTGTTTTATCCAGAAATCTAAAAGAATTTTAACTACACTGTCGTTGAGCATAAGAATTAATTGATTTTGTGTTTAATCTTTAGATATCGTATTCGATTCTATGTATCAATTTTCTTGATGTGGTTTTAGTGAATAATTTTTATTTTGTGTGCAAAGTGTAAATCAATTAGATTATACTACAAGAAATCCTATGAGTTTAAACAATGGAAAATTTAAATTAGATTACCATTATCATCTATGGAACGGCTACATCCTTCTGAAGTATTTGCCAAATATGTTTTTGGATAAAAATTTTAAGATCAAGTTATAGTTATAAATAAATATTTAATTTCAATTTCAATATTTCATTGATTTACTCATAATCTGTATTAATTTGAAACCTGGAAACGGAGCATATTTTTAAATTTATAGGGTTATGATATTATGAATTCTTAATTTGTTAGAGATCATTAAAAGTATGCCAAAGAGATCATAGGACTAATCGCATATGTATATATTCTTAAATGTAAGCATAACATCTGGATTTTGTACATTATGTATATAATGCTTGCTTTCATTAACCATGAACTGAGATTGATCGTGTTGCTTTTATATATATGCGCGAAACCTTGAAAATACCCATATATTTTTACCCATATATTGAAAAAAAGCTTAAATGATTTAAATGCATCCTTTTTTTTAGCACTAAATCAAATGGTCTCTCATGTTCCATGAGTTCATTAGAAAAAATATCATCTAATAAAAAGCCACATTATTTAAAAATGAAACCGATATTACAAAAGTCTGCAAACGACCTAACAACGCTTGGAAATCCTCCGCTTCCACCTAAAAAAAATGCATCTCTTAATAATTTGTTAAATAATAGTTTAGACAATAGTCCGATTAAACCTACAATAACCAGAAAGAAGTTTGTTCCAAAGTCTTATGAGCAGATATGTTTGGCTAAGTCAGGAGGTTATTCAAGTTCAGGCAGTGCGAATAGTATGGGTATATAGTACACTTTAATAGTCATTAATTATGTAAACAATACAACCAAATTTTGTTAGACAATATACCAAACCGGAGGAGAGGTCGTTGCGTGGATGAATATGTTGTAATGTCAGCACCCGATACTAAATCTGCTAACAATTCATCAACATTAAATGTAGAAGCAAAGCAAGCAATTATTAATAAACCAAAATTGAAAAAACCTTTTCCTAGTCCACGTAATTTCGAATATAAAAAATCTGCTGAATATGGGGATTATGCAAATATTAACTCTGTAGTCAATTCTAACAAAGCTGAAAGAGATTTGTAAGTTATTAAAAAAATATCACTCATAATACTGAAGTAAAAATCGATTTCTATATTTAGTAAGCTAAAAAGCAAGATTTACGATGCTAACAACAATAAAGCACATTCGCCAACTCCAGAATTTCCACCGCCAACAGTTGCTGAAGCAGAATCTACTATACATGAATTTATACATCCGCGTAATATGGATATGCAACGTGCATCTATAAAATTAAGAATAAATGAGAGTATCGATAACGATAACCCCGAATCTGCAGCAGAATCGGGGGAGTCGCACAGCTTACGTGCTTCCGACTGCTTGGAGGAGTTTATAAGTGAAGTGCCATTTGCTGGTGAGTATCAAATAATATATGCCAGTAACAAGCCTATTATTAATAAATAAACTATATATAAAATCTTTTTAACAGGTCTTTTTAAAGGGTCTACACTTAATCTACATATGGATGAAGTTGAATATAGCATATTAGATCGACGTTCAAGTGTTTTACGTTCACCCAGCCTAGTACGTTCTCTTATGAAACCCGTACCAGCAAAGCGAAATTTTGTTACACAAAAATCTACACCGCCAATTGAAAATTTAAATGAATCCAAAGAGTGGGAAGAGATTAATACAATTTTCGAATCCATCGGTATGGAGGTGTTCAATGCTAATGAAAAGAATACTGAAAAAAATACATTAAACTTAAAAGACGTATTGCCTGCAAAGTCAGTGACGCAAAATGAATTTAAAATGCGTAAACCCTCTGATCTGGCTTTAGGTATCTCTAGTAATTTATCAACCAATTGGTGCCATTCTCCAAATACATTAATTTATGGACAAATTTTGTATAACGTTTATGTAAGTTTAAGTGACAAAGAATTTCATTTCTATAAAATTTACCAATCTTTAACTTTTTCAGTATCTCGGTTCTACGCTTATCAAGGTACTGCAAGGCACGGTTTCTACACGTAAGTCAATACAGAAGCTGAAACGAAATGAAAATATGGTCGGCAATGACTTAGAGGTGAATTTATTACAAGATTGTAATACAACCACGAAGTATGTGAAGACAAACCATCAACAGACACGTTTAGAAGTTGGAATCGCCATATCACATATGGGCGTAAAATTTATGGATAATGTTAATAAGGTTGTTATAAATAAATTAAATTATTAATAAATAGTTATAAATTATTTTATTTTATATTCTTTTAGAACACTATTTGTTTGCATGATATTGAAAATATTAATTGTGTCTGCCAAGATTCGGAAGATCTGCGGTATTTTGCATATATAACCAAAGAAGACGACATACATTATTGTCATGTTTTTATGGTAGACAATTTGGTGAGTATATTGAGTGTTGAACTTTCTTAAAAGTACTTAGTGTTGAATTAATCATTTTTATTGCAGGAATTGGCATCAGAAATAATTTTGACTTTAGGTCAAGCATTTGAGGTTGCCTATCAACTTGCTATGAAAAGAGATAGCATCTCCCCTGATAATGGATTTAAAAGTTCTGATAGTGTTTTTATAGAAAATGAGTAATTTTTCAATTATTGTATTAAGCATTTAATTATCCGATAATGTATTTTTTTTACCCAATAATGTATTTTTTGCTAGTCTTTTTGCCATTATTTTTACTTGTATTAAAGTTATTAAATTTTGTAAGAGTAAATGTTGTTACCACTTGCCTAGCATTATTAGAATTTTAATTTATCTGATTAACTACGTGCAGCTAATAAATAATAAATAAAATAATTTATAAAATATTATTTATTGTTTTTTTTAATATAAGAATAAAGTAAAAAAAAAACGGTTCCGATTGCCTGGGTACGTCTATGGATTTTATGTATTTTTATGGATTTTAGTAGATTTGATAAATTGAGGGAAATAGTAAATTAGCTCGGTATGGCAGCAAATGTTGGTATTTACACGAATTTCGAGTAGGGTAAATTAAATAGAAATTAGGCAAATTAGGTGTTACCATTGTGCAAATTTTATAAGATGTTTAATAAATAAATAAATAAATTTGAAAACTTTTAACCAAAAATAATAAATAATTGCAATAAATAAATATTTACATAAGTGCAGTGCAAAAAATCCCTAGGAAATTTCAATTTTCTTTACCTCAATTTACGCCATAGTAGATAGTATGGTAGCCAAGCTAGTATGATAGCTTAGCAATAGTAGATATAGTGCATCAGAATGCAGCAGAATATATTTAAAAGGGAAATTTCAACAAACAAAAACTTTTGTTTCAGTGGCCAGGAGCTGAGCGTTCAAGCATAACTGAGAATGTGACTGGCATTTACATTTTTTCTTTTTTAGATAAAGAGAATTATCTGTCGCATCGCATTAACCAATTTTTATATACTATACACAGATCAATATGTTCGTTAAGGAATTTAATAACAGTGTGGACAACATTTTACTGAGAAAAAATGCATATTTATTGCCAAATGGAAGAACAAGGTTCTTAACTTAACGAATTCAAGAATTCTGTTTTATTGATGTTTACTTAATCTTCAATTTTATTCTATCGTAAATTAGTGACATACATACATATGTCTAAATCAGCTTTATCATTAATAATGCTGCGGCTCGTAGAAATGCATGAATATCTCAGTATTTGAGATTGTCTTTACATTTCTATGTAATTAAACAGTCCACGAAGGATTATGGTGTTTGAAGTCGCTATACTACTTACATATTATTTATATTATCTACCATAGAAAAGATTGAAGCACAAACCTTTTACACTAAAGCACAAATAATGGTCAGTTGTGATACTGTAGCCAAGCTACCATAACTATTAGAATTTTCAAATATAGGACGTATGCGAGTTAGGCTAAGTTGTGTTCTAAATGAGGGAAATTCTAAGTTGTGCCGATAATGTAGTGATGTGTTTGCAGTGCAAAAAATCTCTAAAAATCTCCCATTTGGTTTAGCATCAACTTAGCCTAACTCGCACACGTCCTATATTATAGATGCTTCTACATGTCCAATTATCAAGTGTGACTTTAATTGTATAAATGCATGATTTACACTATGCGAACACTAAGTTTATGACAAAATATTTTACCGGTTTAATAACCGTAGGACATACGGTTATTCATTCATTTTATGTAAGTACTTGAGTGCAATTTAAAGTAGTACAAATACGCAAATTACAATTAACTAAACTATTAATTAAAGAAATTATAATTTATTTTTGATTTTTTATATAATATACATGTATTGCTATTATATTTTATTTTATTACAAATTAATGACACTTTTCCCGAACACATTACGAACTGCCTTACCGATATTGTTATCACGCAATTTTTTTGACAATTCGGCTTTTGCATGTTTATTAAAGGTTTACATTGTTTTATGAAGTAAAAGGTTTTCATATCAAATTCAACTTATTTCCTTGAATATAATAATATTTTTGAACAAATGGATGAAGTAAAAAGGAAAAGTGTGACAAAAGAATACGATGATGCCGATATTGAAGAGGGTAAGTGTAGTTTATAATGAAACTATCACATTGAGTTTCAAATTGCAGAATTTAATTTAATTAAAAATTTAAATAAAAATTAAGAAAAGTTGCATTTAAGTATTTGAATAGTTTTTTTTTACAATTAAATAAAAAAAAAAACTTAAGATCTGTAACACATTTTGCGACTGCTTTATAGGCACATAGCCGTGCTTTATCAATATTATATTTACTCTACAATTACCAGCTCTGATAACAGCTTTCAGTACATGTAATTTATTAGCACACTTTAGTATTATAATACCAATTTTATATTCGTTAAAGACGTTAATACCACTAGCTGCTTTCTAAAGGCAGCATTACAATATATTTTACGTATATCAAATATTGCAATATATTACGGAGCTGCTTTTTGTGAAGGCAGTCAGTCTTACATTGGGTTTGTTTAACTTCGATTTCATCACACAAGGAACTATTCCAATAAAGAAAAAAACTGTGAAAAGTAATAGTGATTTGTTAAAATTGTTTATATGTGCAAGTGTGCTTAATACATTTAAATACTCAAGATAAACGCAAGTAGCTGATTCCTTTCTAGATACGTTCTAAGGTATAACCTACTGTTATTATATGTTTTTGTAAAAATAAAGTGTTTTTCATTCTTTCAGATACTCCTGCATCTGATACAAGCGAACCATCCAACAAAAAACCTAAAGTACACATAACAACTAACAACGATTTAGATTTAAGTCTTAATCCACACTATGCGACGAAGGATTTTACAAATATGTTGACAACAGTTTGGAACTCAAATCAGGAAAATGATTACAAACACGATAAGAGTGATGCGGAAGTATATTTTAAACCATTTCAAATATGTCTTATGCCAAAGCTATTGCAGGATAAAAATAGTTGCAGGAAATTAGTTGATGAAATGGTACACAAAGTACACTGGTCAAGAAAACAGATGGACTTATATGAATTTTATCAAAGCACCGACCTCTCGAACATGTCAGAATGTAAATATTTAACAAATTTTTTATATATGTTACGTCGTAATGTACGTCCCTGGTTGGAGAAGGTAACTAATCTAAAATTGGATTATGTATCGGCATCCTGTTCAATGTACACCTGTGGTGATTTTTTGCTGGTTCATGATGATCTATTAAAAGATCGTCAAATTGCTTTTATATATTACCTTTCTCCTTGGACTAATGCTGAGGAATGGACCGAAGAACAAGGAGGCTGTTTAGAAATTTTTAACAGCGATGAAAGTTTTTTTCCACAATTTCCTGTTAATCGAAAAATTTCGCCAAAGAATAATCAATTTGCGTTTTTCAAAGTTGGTTCGCGTTCATTTCATCAAGTCGGCGAAGTAACTAATTTTGATTATCCGCGTTTGACAATCAATGGTTGGTTTCATGGCACGTCGAACGATGAACTTATAGCAAACTCCTTGCGACCATTAAATGATATAATATTTAAAGTACCAGAAGATGTTCAAGTGAATGTAGCCGAAATTGTAAATGAAGTGTACATTACACCTGACACTTGTGCCAAGATACAGGAACGTATCGAAACCAATTCAGAAATTTGTCTGTACGAATTTTTTAAACAAGAAATATTTGAAGCTGCTTTAAAACAATTAAAAACGGACGATTCACTTATTTGGCAGTGTCAGGGTCCAGCTAATGCACGTTATTATGAAATCTTACAGCTAAGCTCAGCAAGTAGTACATTAGACGACATTATAAAATTATTCTCTAGCAAAGAAATGTTTGCTTTGTTGCGCAAGTACACTGATCTGGATTTAGCAGGCGATAATGCTAAAACTCCAATGTTTAATTTTGAAATACAACGCTGGACGCATGGGAACTACACAGTTCTAGGCGATAATGCCATTTGCGAAGAGAACACTTTAGATTTAATATATTATTTAAATGCAGCAGATGGTGCTGGTGTGATAACTTATCTTGCGCCTGACGCCGAAGAAGTCGATGAAGCGATGCATAATAATGACTATGATAGTGATGATGAAAGTGTACTACTCACCTTAACGCCAGTAGATAATTCGCTTAATATTGTTTACCGCTGCCTGGGCACTACAAAATTCACCAAATACGTTTCACGTAATACTCCGCTTAATAAGGGACCAGTATTTGTTATTTCCTGCAGTTACAAAGAATAACTTTAACTCTTTCGTTAACTACTAATGTTTAAATTAATTGAATGTAGTCAAATTTGAGCACAAACTAGATACTACCAACTTTTATGACGTTTAATAAAAAAAACATTTGTTGTAAACTAAATTAAGTTGACGTAAATAATATATAAAATATTAAAAATAAGTTAATGTTTATTCGATTAAAAGTATTTTGAATTTTAATGTGTTAATATTTGTAAGGCACACTACTCTAAATTTATAATTACAGTTTTGTTAATTATTTATCCATTGTTAATCAATTGTTTTCATGTCCATATATTAAGTTAGTGTGTGTTTGTTTTTATAATAGTTAAATATATCGGATCTGTTCTTGTTTGCCTGTGACTTCTTTTAATCATAATCCTAATCACAACAACGGTGTGCAGACCCGTTCTGTTTAAGTGTAGTTTGAGTATGAGTGCAGTCTGAGAAAACATATGTTAAAATTGGATGATATTTCAAGATATTTAAAGTCACCAATAATGAAATCATATATATAAAGTGTTAAAGTGTTAAAATTTTACCATCTCAACTAGCAGAGTCCTCCCTTTTGGATGCATTCGTCGACACCTTTTGAATGGAGCTAACATCAGTGAGATCGAATATAAACGTAGACTTATAGCCCTCCACACAGTTTCGAACCAATTCAAATTCTAATAGAGGCCGATAAAGCCATGGATAAAAAGATATGCAAAATTTACTATAAAATGAGAAAACGATTAACTCTAAATTACTAGTTCTAAATTGTTGATACTGGATTAATAAAAATTCTTACAAAGGTTGAATAGTCATTGGTAAAAGAGGATATAGAATTAACCTTATTGTACCCAGTTTGTTTCTCTATTCTTGCGAAAATTTACTTAATTTGCTTTCCCGTAAACAATGAAACATTGACGAAAGTTGGTGAGTGATACTTAGTTGTCAGAGAGAGCTAGATCCGATACTCTCTCATTTGGTATTAGAAACATAGTTTTAAAATACAACGCGGGGCGCATGAGAATTACACAGTTCTAGGTGCGAGGAGAACACATTAGATTTAATATATTATTTAAATGAAGCAGTTGGTGCTGGTGTGATAACTTATCTTGCCACTGACATGATTATGATAGTACTACTCACCTTAACACCAGTGGATAACTCGCTTATTGTTTATCGCTGCGTAGGCACCACAAAACTCTCCAAATACGTTTCACGTAACATTCCGCTCAATGGAGGACCAGTATTTATTATTTCCTGCAGTTACAGAGAATAATGTTTATTCCTTCATAAACTACTGATGTTTAAACTAATTGAATATAGTCAAATTTAAGCACAAACTAGATGCTATCTAAATGTATGAAATTGAGTTATGAGTTAATGGTATATAAATGATTAAAAGGAAATGTTTATTTGATTAAAAATATTTTAAAATTGAATGTGTTATAATATGCAAAGCCCACTAAACTAAATTTGTAATTACAGTTTTGTTAATTATAAGTCCATTATTAATCCATTACCTTCATGTTAGTATATTATGAAAGTGTGTTATGTGGATTTATTCCACATATTTGTCAGTCCAAGTTTTGTCTTACTTTATATTAAACAAAATAAAAGACAAAGCCCAATATCACAGTTTTTGTTTAGAAATTTGTCCTACACACAAAGTAACGCTTCCTGTTTACACTATTTCAAGTACATTGAAGCTAACTTACTGTTTATGCTGATTCAGCTATGATCACCAGAGTCAAGTTGAACACAGCATTCTTTGTTTACTTGATGAGCAATGAATGTTGCGCTTCTGATTCCTCACATAGAAATTAACTTAGGTACGACAAATACCACCACACTTATCACAAGAATGCAAAGCTCAGCATAAAACTGACGCGGTTTAGTTAGCTTTTGCTGGACACTTCAGTGTCTTCAGTTCTACTCAAGCCAACAAACAAACTGGTCCAAGTTCTCAAAGCATAACAAGTATATGTTTATATTTAAGAGATTATTAAAATGTATGCAATTTGCTTGTGACTGGCTTCGTCTTCTTCCAATCTCAATTCTAATCACAACAATCGCAAGCTCATACACCCTTTTTATGTACATATTGAAAGATAGATGAAGATTTTTGTAGATATGATATGTAGATATGTAGACATTTTAATCTCTTGCTTTATTGCTAGATCTTAGGTAATGAACTTCTAACAAAACCAAAATTCTAACTTTATATGAAGTACTTGCTCACGAATTATCTCACTTTATTTACAGATAAATATCGGATGTACTCATCTATGTCTTTTATGATTGTGGTAATTCTAATTGGCATACCGATGTGGTGGAAGACAACAGAGGTTTATAGGTAAAATTTAAAAAAAAAAAATAATATAAATAAATATATATTACATGCATATATATTATTTTCAGGGTGTCTCTACCATCTTACAATATTTTAGGTTTAAGTGAAAATCCTATTAAAACCTCTGTGAGTATTGGAATATTCACATTTCAAAAGGAGCGATCATCTTTGCTTATAAGTGAATTAAATGAGGCTTTTGCAGATAATAGTAAGTTTTAATATAAATGTAGTATATACTGATATAATTGATTGTTTTCTCTCAAACTAGGCTTGTGGGATGTTAAATTCGTTCAAATTTTACCATTCGAGAAAGCGAATGAAGCAAAAACACCAGCTGGTCTGGAAAGTTATATATTAAAGCAGCATCAATTAAAAGTTGGTGATTTCATTTTTATTGAATGGCCACGATTGGAGGAGGAAGTTTTGCTAACTAATGAACGCTCCGCTTTAATAAGGACTGATACAAGTAATTCTATTAAGTTCAATTTTATTAAGTTCAAAATTGTAGAAATTTATATCGGGTTTATATGTTCTTATTGTAAACCAATTATGAAATCAGTTTTTGGAGTCACTGTTAGGTGAATGAGAGCTGTTAGGAGAGGAGAATGCGTCAATATACTAATATTTTTATCGAGTTATATATTTCAGATTTCAGCAAGTACCTTAAGTAACTGAAAGTTATAACATTTATAACCAAATTAATTGAATATTAAAACCAAACCTTTAATTTATAAAGTTCTCAGTAACAAAAATATAATTTTTAATCCCACATATTATAATATATTGCAATCTCTTAAATCAATATTTATAAAAATAATACAATCTAACATTTTAGGCGCTAATAAAATTAAAAGCGTTATTAATTTGTTAATATTACAAACGCATCGCATTCAACAAATATTGACCACGGATCAGCGTTATGCTACTAAGTCTGAAGCGCCTCAAGCTGAGTATGATGTTATAGTGTCTGTGCTGAATCCCAATCCTGAAATAATGGATGCAAAATGGAATGTACAAATGGCCATTGAAAGTAAACTAAAATTTTTATAACTATCAGTCATAATTTTTCTTTATTTGTTTTTATTTCTCTTCAGCATATCTTGCTCCGTTTTTAAGAGACGTATCCGGTGTATCGAATTTTACATTAAAATCACAATGGAAATATCAATTAGCATTTGAAGCAGAACTTAAACAAAAACGTGATACTACCAAACTTGGACGTCATTATGCTTTATCTGAAACATCCCTGCCACATATAATAACATCAATTGAAAAGAATTTAGGTGTTGGCATTACTGATAAATCACCCATTAATTTGGTAGTGTATATACCACCTTGTAGTATTGCACCCATTCATATATATAATCGACATGGTAATATAGCTACGAAGCATAATGTAGACTCATTTATTTCACAAAAATGGGGTGGAATAATCATAGCAAATCCACCCGAGGAAACATGCTTAGCTTACAATGAAAATCAACAACCCGTGCAGTTCTATGTGAACACCAATGATATAATGCAAATCATGTTGCATCAACTACATAAACTTTTAGACATAAGTATCGAGGTACGTCGTTTACAATTTATATATTATTTTATATTTTATTTAAATTTATTTTCTACTTATAGTTTAATATACCATCTGTGAAAACAGTTGCACTTGAGCAAATATCGCCACGTCGTTGGGAATATGAGTCGTACATTAGGCGTAGCACCATCACACATATCACAACCGCAACAAACACATTGCAAAGCTTAATTAAGTTATTAGGTAAATAAATCATTATTGATATTGTTAATATATAAAAATTATTTTCTTTTAATCTAGACAATATTAGTTATATAGTCATAAACGATGATGTAGGTACATCCATTAATACCGCATATGAACACATTCTACTGGCCAAAAGTGCGCTTGAAGCTAACGATTTGGTCAGCTCCTCCAAATATGCAAAAATTGCTTTCACCTCTTCGGAGCATGCCTTTTTCGATTCCACTCTCTTGGCACAACTCTATTTCCCGGACGAACAAAAATATGCAATTTACATTCCACTTTTCCTGCCCATCATGGTACCTGTGATAGCTTCGTTTTCAATGCTACGTAAATTAATAGTAAAGTTATTTGGAGCCAAGAAAGAAAAACAGAACTGAAAATAGATGTGATGTATCTTTTTTTTAATGACTATGACAGTATAAACTTTAAGTATTTTTAGTATAATTTCTTTTCAAATCCAACTCAACACCTCCTACGGGTTATTTATATATATATTTTTTTTTAAATCAAACCAAATAAAATAAATGATAAATTAAGTTTTTAGTCAACTACAAAATATAAATTGTATTCGTTTTTGTCTATTAATGAATTAAAAGAGAGCCGGTAGGTATTATTCAAGAATCAGTCGAATCACTTTACATATCCTTTAAGTGAAAAACAATGCTGAGGTACTGTTCTAAAAATGTTTGTAGCTTTCTGCAGATGTTATATGCGACCTTCAAAGTATGGGACCAGTACAATGGAACAGGTTTGATAGTTATATTGATATTTGTAGATAAATTTGCATGAGGACAATTTAAAACCTCAGCCAATCTCATTTGGATTTTTGAAAATGCTGGGCAATAACACAAAATACTCTGTATTGCCTACATACCCTTGCAATAATACACACAGTGTTCATGTAATGTCCACCTGTGTTTTCAATATGATCAATACTTCTCTGAGGTCTTTTAATTACAGGAATAAGGTCACCTTACAATATCAAGTTACTTTTTAAAGTTTTTCGTCTTTTTGCAAATTTCCACTGCGGACCATCTTTTTCTATCATTGAACACATCGAAAGAATTCTTCAAAGCTAAGGCTAAAAATTGGTTCTGTGGCTATCGATGTTCTACCAGTCTTCATTGGTCATGCTGTTAACTACCATACTAATACGATATAAATAATAATATCAGCTACCATACTCCATGGTATCATTCAATCATCTATATGGTATCATACAATCGAGCTTGTGTTGTGTGCCAGTTCATTCCATTACCATTGTACTTTTAATTACTTTTCCGTTCTAGCCAAGGGTAATATTAGTGAGTTAAAAAATCCACAATTTGATCAAATGAAAACAAGTTTAAAATAGTGGATTTCACAAAGCCGCTACTCGTAAACTCGCCAGTTTAGTTTCCTTTTACTTATTTAAGGGGAGAATCGCATCTGCTCGAGATGCCGTACGGTATCTCATCCGTGGTATATCAACGGTTGATTATTTGTGCTTAGGTCAGCTTTTTGCCACTCCAACCTAGCAGATTTCAATAGAGAAGGGCAGTTGAACTGGTTTCAGTTATTTTTTTGTATATAGTATATTAAAAAAGACTAACAAGTGAATAAAATTAAACAATTTTTTTAATTAATATAATTTTAATTAATTTATTTAATGATATATATATAAACATTTCTTAAGGTGGACATAAGAGTTAATTCCGTTAATTTGAGTTACATGCTCGTTATATATAAGGTATATATATATCAAGTAATAAGAATATACGATTATAATATAGATTTATATATATGTGTTTTCGCAATAAAAATGAAATTTCTAACACGAGATTAAATCAAACATGCAAATATTAATAGAGTTATATAGAGATATTTGCGCCCATAATTATATACTTTTATTAATTAAAAAGTGATGTTTAACATTTTTAATATAATTAATTATATACGGAATAATAAAGCAAAAAATCTTACATATAAAAATAAAGGAAAATAAGAAACAAAAGCAAAAATTTGTGAAACAAAAAATCAGTACACCAATATTTTACATATTCCTTATATAAACATGTATGTTTTTTTGGTTATTTGTATATTATAATAATATTACTTAAAATCTAAAATGAAATTTAATTTGTTTTTAAAATTTCGTAAATCGATCACTGCACTTAATTATTGCCGGTTTGTGCAACACTCATAAAATCTAAAGCTTCTGGTATGTTACCATTTACAGATTCGAGCAGCTGTGTCAACCAAGCACCCTCA